GACAATCGTCGAAGTCTTGGAACAACATCTTCAAAAGTTAGTTTTAAGGTTTTGCTTGATATTATCGCATCCTGAGGTTGACTGAGACAGATTGTTCGTCAATGGAGAGACACCGCATTCCGCCAACTACCGCGGCTGCAGTCACGCGAAGGAGGAACTGCAGAAGAGGAAATTGCAGAGAGCACCCAAAACCACAACAGGAAGGGTGTTCTCATCAAATATCGTCACCCCTGGAGTTTCCATCGCGGCGACTCTCCGAGGCAACACATCACAGGAGCAGCTGTCTCAGACTCGACAAACACCAGTGGCAGTTCCACTAGCAGCCACGAAACCGAGCGTCCCGATCCCTGTATTGGAACAACACACAGGTCAGTCAGTTCAGGCTCCTAATGTAAACAGTCAATCTCTCGACAATATGTTGAGAGTAGTGACTGTAGTACAGCAAATTATGACAGATGTCAGTGGTGCAGTTTCCAAGGAGAACAAAATAATGGCCATAACTAAAATTGTACAAAACTTAATGAAACAAAATGGCCACTAGAGTTCATAGGCCACTCAAAGTCATAGCATTTAATGCGAACGGCATTGGGAGGCAGCGCTATGAGCTCAGTAAACAGTTGCAAGCCCTACACGTAGATGTGGCCCTGTTTTCAGACACACATCTGAAACCTCATGAGAGGTTCTTTATTCCAAATTACCACTTTTATAGAATTGACCGCCACTCGGGCAGAAAAGGCGGAACTGCCGTTGCAGTAAGAAAAGGCATTCCCCATAACCATGTAGACCTACCACCCCTTGTTTCAGTAGAAGCGACAGGGGTCTGCATACCAATTGGTAATAGCGAAGTGCTGCTTGCAGCTGTTTATAAATCTCCAGGCAGAGCCTGGAGTGATACTGATATCACTGAGCTCTTAAACTTCAGACGTAAGTCTATTTTGGCAGGTAATTTGAATGCTAAGAACCCATTTTGGAATAGCAGAGTTTCAAAACCCTCAGGCTTGAAACTGGTTGATTTATTTGATAGGAGTGATTTCGAAATTTCGGCACCATAGTGCCCCACTCATTATTCCCCTGCGGGAAATGGTGACGTGTTAGACATTGCGGTTCAAAAAAATATGAGTGTGTCACAGGTCATCGTCTCTGATATTTTGGATTCAGATCCCCTCGCTTCTGAATTAATGTCACCTAAACAAGAAATTAATTCGGAGGTAGAAGCCGATAAAGCGGCACGCGACTTTGCAGCTTCTATTGCTTCGGCATATAGGCTGTCGACAAGTAAAATTACACTTTTGGACATAAACAACGATCTTCCTGGTCTAGATCGTTTGATAAAATATAAACAGAGGCTACTAAAACTGTGGCAAGAAACCAGGGATCCAGCGTGTAAAATGGCAGTCAATTGGATCACCAAATCAATCAGGTGAATGACCCATAAAAAGGCACTTGAACGGTGGGATACAAAAATAGGTAACACTGAAGTCACACCTCAGAGTATATGGCCCATTGCGAAATCTCTCCTTAAGAGAGACAGACCAAGGGCACCAACTGCTATTCACGGTTCTTCTGGCCTAAAATTTCATCCTTCTGAAAAAGCCAATGAAATTGCAGACTGTTTGGAAATTCAGTTCATGCCACATGACCTGTGCGACGAAAACCATGAACAGCGGGTGGAGGCTAGAGTTCAAGCTCTGCTGGAAGCCATGGATGAAAACTCCCCTCTAAGGATCAGACCATGTGACGTTGAAAAGTTAATAAAATCTCTGAAATTAAAAAAGGACTGTGGAATTGACGGCATCCCAAATGAATGCCTCAGGCACCTTCCAAGGCGACCACTGGTTCACCTAACTCATTTATTCAATCACTGTTTTCGGTTCTCTCATTTTCCAAATACTTGGAGGGAAGCAAAAATAATAACTTTACCTAAACCGGGTAAAGACCCGAAATTTCCTCAAAATTTACGTCCGATCAGCCTCCTGTCCACGACGGGAAAACTATTCGAAAAAGCAATTTCGAAATTCCTCCGTAAACATATCAAAGAAAGAGGCCTGCTCAACGCAAGTCAGTTTGGTTTTCGTGCACGTCACAGCACGACATTGCAATGTATGAGCCTGGCGGACCACGTGACCCTTAATTTCAACAATAAAATGACTAGGGCTGCAGTGTTCTTGGACATCGAAAAAGCCTTTGATACCACGTGGCACGTAGGCTTGCTGTTTACGTTATCAAAATTGGAACTCTCTAACATTTTGACCAAGCCTGTTGGGTCCTTTCTTTCTAAACGTAAATTCAGGGTCTCGGTTGAAGGCGAAATGTCAACGCCAAGGGAAATGCAAGCAGGGGTGCCACAAGGTTCTGTCCTTTCCCCTTCTCTTTTCAACTTGTACATAAATGATTCCCTCCTCGACTAGTGATATTGAACACAGTTCAAAAATTGAAACTGGTTCATGGGTAAATGAATACTTTGAACTGCGTTCAATATTAGTACTCGAGGAGGATGAATTTGGTAGGTCATGTAGCACGAATAGGGATGCGAGGAATGCATATAGGTTATTAGTGGGAACGCAAGAAGGAAAGAGAGACTGCAGGACAAGAGATCTAAAAGTATTTATTGCTACTAGCGAAAAAAAAAGCATTTTGCGGGGGGCGAAGGGTAGCACTCAAATTAGTTGCTAAGATGGCATACCTTCTTACTGATTGTGCTCTCGGCCCTGGAGGTCATTTTTAATTTAGTCATGTGAGCTGAACATAGATTGCAGGAGCGTTTCACCGAGTTATTATGGTGGGCATTTTGCCAACCAATAACGTGGGAGTTTGAGGGAGCTGCTACCGAGAATCTCTAAAGGGGGTGGGAACTGAAATAGGGGAAAGGGAAAAACGGTAACTACTGCCTCTAAGAGCGGCGGAAGAAACCTCACGCAGGTCTCGACCAATCAGAGAGCCTAAACAAACCAACTTGAATACCCACAATTACGTGCGGTTATGGTGGTGCATTATATGCAAATTGGTTAAGTATGAATTTTGATTTCATGTGGTTGCGAAACGAAAGTAGACATTTACGAACGAAGTTACAGCTCCATATTAAACATATTATTTGTGTATAGGGATGTTATGCTTACTACCACAAATGAAATTAGAAACACATAAATTCTTTCAACCATAAAATTTTTTTGGTTATCATGAACTGTCATCTAAACGATATTTGTTTTATGATATGTTCTGCAACTTTCGGTTTATCACAAAGACTGTCTGTTGAATGTGAAGGAGTTGTAAGAGTACCGTGATGGTGTTATAATTTTTGTATTGCTTCTTGCAGTATAAACATAAAAACGAAAACATGTGCTGCTTCTGGGTGCTTGTCATCCAGCAAGCAAGGCATCAAATTCTTTAGCTTTCCAAGGGATCCAGCAAGGTATGTCTGTTTTAATTGATGGTGTGATTACTTTATTATGTGTTGCTTAATCCTTTGAAGTGTTTGCAGTGCAACCATTACCAAGTAGCCACCAACTTTTGCAGTGAAAAAAACCTCGTTTCTCATAAGCCCTGTAAATATAAATACTTCTGATGTGGAACTCAGGCATATCAATCATTGCAGCAAGCCACAACACTGTATTGGCTACAGGTGGCTAGCGAGAATGTCATTGTCATCATCATTCATTACTTATGAAACTACACCAATATATAATTTTATAATAAATCTTATTTTACTGTCATGTGCAACTTTTTAAGTTTTAAATTTTAAACTTAAAGTTAATAAATAGTTTCACATAAGACTGTAAAATAAGATTTATTATAAAATGGAAGAATGCAACAGGATGCTACAATATAATCTTATCAGTACACAAGTTATGTAGGATATGTTAAATGTTTGAAAAGCAGATCACACTGTCAGTAATATGATTTATAAGAGAATAAGGTGGTAAAGACTTTGCTATGAGGAATAATTTAATCAAATATACAAAATCTTTATAATGGCAGTCCCTTTAAAGTAAAGTGTGTTATTTTCAAATCTGAACAAGTCCATCATGTAAGGAAGCCCACTAATTTCCTTTTTAATGTTCTTTCAGTGTGGTGCTGTGGTGAATACCTGGCAACAGCTGTTTGATGATCACCTTGTGAACACATTTGAAGCTATTCGTTCGTAGTATGGTTTGAACAATAATCCAACTGTGGGACAGTTTGTAGATGCCCTGAAGACTAACATCATCAGTGCACTTGCTATCAGAGGTCTGTGTGGAACTAGTTGTCAGAAGATGATCAGAGTTCATTCTGCCCTGTATCTGAAAATAATTATATTTCAGTCAAGAATTGTGTGGGAAATTCTTTTCTGACTCAGATGGCTCTTGTTTATGTGTGTGGGTAAGAGTGAAGTGGCATTACTTTATGACTGACTTGCAATATTCAGGTTACCTGATTCAGCGTGAAACACCGAGGAGCAGAATCAATGTCAGGATATATTTTGTAATTAAATGTATTAAGTACTTCCTAGGTAGGAAGTTTTACTTATTAGTGTCTACATATTATATTCATCTAATTTATTGTTATGGGTATATCCCTTCTGTCATTGCATTATGTTGGCCATATTATTGTGTTCAGGATTGATCTTATGAACGTATGAAAGTATCACAACTCTATGGGCCTTCACGGCCTTTTACAGTGATAGCTTTACTTTACTTACTTTACTTTACTATATATATATATACAGGGCTTGAGGTGAGGCGGGATGCGGCGGGAAGGCATCCCGGTTTTTTTCTAAATGGCTTAAAAGTATCCCGTTACTTCTTTGGCAGTAAATGCAATGTACAATACCTTTTTTGTTGTTGTTGTTGTTGTTGTTGTTATCTGTTTCATGGTTGTACAGGCTACTCCCCTGCGTCGTCTAACTAAATTTTGCTTTCATGTGGTACTGTTTGAAGCACCCGAGAATGCACAGTCCCATATCACATTTCTCGCACTTCGTCTGAACACGTTTCCTCTTTCCACATGCAGAACCATCCTGGTTCTATTTTCATTCCACTTCAAGCACTGTATATATATCAGACTTTCAAGGTTCATTATATTTGTTCAGTTAATTTATTATTTTGGCCACATTATTGTGTTTAGTATAGAATTTGGAAACATGAGCATGTTTCAGATCATGATTTATATCATGATATAAATTTTTTATGTGACTTGAGAAATGTGCATCAAATAAGTTCATTAATGCAAACGTATAACTTGTTTTATATTGTGGACTTCCCAACTAGGATTGTAAAAGAATCCTGCACGGCCATTGATAATATTTTTTTGCACTGTAGTAGAGTAAATACATATCATGTGCACTCTGTAAAAAATGGTCTATCAGATCATGATGCGCAATATCTGGTGATAAATAATGTGTTCGGAACTCAGCGGAATAAGTATACACCTGTTAAAAAGAGGTTAATAACTAGGACTGGAGTCATGATGTTTACGGAGGCACTACAAAATGAAACATGGGATATGACCCTTAGTAGTGTGGAGGTAGATGCAAGTTTTAATGCATTCTTAAACACATTTATAGTCATTTTTGAATCATGCTTCCCCATGCAATTTGTGATGGATATGGGGCATAAAAATCAGTGGATACCTGGTGGAATAAAAGCGTCGTGTAGATGTAAAAGATACCTCTACATAATAAGTAGAGTAACTCATCATATTAAAATAAGAGAATATTACTCCTGTTACTGTTCCATATTAAGAAGAGTCATTAGAAAAGCTAAAGAGATGTACTACAATGAAATGTTAATGAAATCCACAAATAAATCTGAAATGTCTTGGAAAATTATAAATAATGAAATTGGTTGTGTAGCTAAAAGAAAAGCTGCTCCAGCAGACTTCAAAAATGGTGAAATCAAAATTGAAATTAATAAAGCAGCTGGGTTTTTTAATACCTATTTTATAGATTCAGTGGAGAAATTAATTAGTCAATATCCAAAAACTGAGGATGAGTGGTCAGCAACAATAAGTAGTCTTACCGACAAATTACCTTAAATAGTTAATATTCCAATTACATCGTCAGAAATTTTTGGCATAATTTCGTTACTAATGAATAAGGGTTCCTGTGGATATGATGGTATATCAAACAAATTCATAAGACTGTGTAGTAAACAAATAACCAAACCACTTATGCATATTTTTAATCTATCCCTAACCACTGGAATTTATCCAGATCGGTTAAAATATGCCAATATTATACCATGCTTTAAGAAAGGTAGTATTACAGAAATATCTAACTACCGGCCCATTTCCTTGTTGACAGGGTTTTCCAAAATATTCGAGATACTAATATATAACAGAGTAATAATTCAATTCAATTTTATTTCATCCATGAATCATTATACATGATATGGGACAAGTCAAAGATTAATATTAATATTAATACTAATACTAATACAGCATTTAACAAACAATAATGTTATTGTAGATAATCAGTTTGGTTTCAGAAAGGGTGTGTCGACTCAAAAAGCTATTTTTACGGTTACTGATTATATTTATAAAGCATGGAACAATAAGGAGATGGTTGTGGGGAATTTTTGTGACCTCACTAAGGCATTTGACTGTGTCAATCATGACCTGCTTGTCCAAATATTTAAACACTATGGAATAAAAGGATCTCTACTAAAAGTGCATGAAAGATACCTATATAACAGGAAGCAAAGAATCATACTACAAACTCAAGACTCAACTTCGTATGTTTCTAAATGGAAAACTTGAAACATGGAGTTCCGCAGGGATCTGTACTGGGACCTTTGTCGTTCAATGTATATATTAATGATCTGCCTAGAATTCTAAATGGGTTGGCACATACAGTTCTATATGCAGATGACACCACTTTTATTGTCTCTTCACAGGATATTAGTAGCCTTAATAACAAAATTAATTTAGTAATGAGACATTTATATAGATGGTTCCAAGCTAACCAATTAATACTACATTTAAAAAAAAACATGTAATGAAATTCATGACCCCTAAGGCCACGGATTATCCATTACATTTAATATATAATGATCAAACACTTAAATTTTCTGTAAATGTTAAGTTTTTAGGTGTGTGCCCGGACAATCATTTGGGCTGGGAAAAATACTCTGATGATATGATACTTGCAACCTTTGTGCTTAGAAAACTACAGCCTATAGTAAGTAGGCAAGTCTTGAAAATGGCTTATTGTGCTTACTGTCAAGCTCAACTTAAATATTGTGTTATTTTCTGGGGCTCTTCTTCATCATCAATGAAAAGAGTTTTTGTGGCTCAGAAAAGAGCAATTAGAGCAGTGTTAATGATGAGGCCTAGAAGTTCTTGTAGAGAGGTTTTCAGATAATTAGGGATACTTACAGTTCCCTGTTTGTTTATATATGCCATGGTCATGTTTGTAATTGAAAACAAAAATAAGTATCCTACAAATAATAGTGTACATAAAATTAACACTAGAGTACAAAATAGACTACACGTCACGTCACAGCTAGACTATCCATTATACAAAAGGCAGTGTATTATACATCCATAAAAATTTTTAATAATTTGTCACATAAATTATATATTTTAAAGGATAATGTTAATTTATTTTAACGAAAACTGAAAGACTTTCTTATCTTGAAAGCTTTCTATTCTNGCGATTATTTTATTGCTTTTCATATATTATTAAATGCAATCTTAATCTTGTTAACAAGAGTGTGTATCAGATTCTCAAGTTTCATTATAATACTGAAATTGATAACCAATGGAAACCTCAGTATTATTACTCCCTGTACGTGATTTATAACACATTAGTGTAACTGAAAAGCAATGTTTTGTGTAGGTTTCAAGTATAAGTTGTAAGCAAAGTTATGAAGTTGAATACAAGTATCTCTGATGCAAACAGAATTTTCTTTCAAGTTTACCCACCATCAGCTTTCCTAAGCACAAGTATTGTATGTATGTTATAGTTCAAATATCCATTGCATTTAAGTAAGGGGGTGTTGAATTGATGTAAATGAAATGTTCTTATTTTACAGGCACTGGTGAGAAACTTTCTTCCGATAAATAATGTTGCAACCTGATATCTTGTACTGCAGAAGTTCTTACTCCGTTGTGTGTTTTCTGTTTCCGAACTGAGTTTGATATCATTTAACTCATTCTCCTCCAGATGGTTTTGAGCGAAGTGATGTTATACTCAGTTCGAAAACAGAAAAAACACAACGGAGTAAGAACCTCTGTAGTACAAGATATCAGGTTGCAACATTATTTATTGGGTGAACGTTTCCCACCAGTGCCTGTAAAATATGAACATTTCATTTACATCAATTATTATTTCTAGCTATACGTGTGAACCAGTGATTTTTTGGGAGGGAGCAGTAAAAAAATGCTGGTGGTATGATAGCATACCTTCCTACCGACCGAGCTCTCGGCACTGGCGGTAGCCATTTTATATCAAGACTGTCCGCCGGCCACCGCGGCAGCAGTGATGCTTCATGACGTCATGGCGGTTATGTTGCCCGCCAATAGCACTGAGTTGCCACCCACTGATCTCTAACATCTTTGTTAATCTGTGACCTAAAAAATTCCGTACACATGAATACCAACATTAAGATAGAAAATCATCCGCCCATTCGAAAATTCCCTAAAGGCAATAGATATAATTAAATTTTCCCATTATAATAAAATTGAAAATTTGTTTTGGACTGGGCTGTTTTTCTAGCATTCGCCGTCTTTGAGGAAGTAACTTACTCGTAAGAATACTATGTGTGTCAATGCGTCCACCTCGCACCCACTTCGACCTCTGGGCCGTATACCCCGTAACCAGCCGATATACCGACTAGGCTATCCCGGATCGTAAGGTACTAATGGTACAGAAAGTTTTGTGTATGTCAATGGAAGAAACGTCTCCAATTTCTCATTCTTTCTCAACAACATTTTCTTGCACTACGAATATTACAAAAATGTGCACGTGAAGAAATTTATGTTTATGTTAATGCTGGGACAGTGCCCTTCTTAAGCGGTTAGTCGCTGGCTTCCCACCGAGGCAGGCCGGGTTCCATCTTGGGTGTGGTCAAGTGGGATTTGTTGTGGACAAAGTTTTCTCCAAGTACTTCGGTTTCCCCTGCCAATCTTCATTCCACCAATTGCTCCACAATCACCCTCTCCTATTATCTGGGACCGGTAAAATAGGCCACAAGTGGCCGCAGTACAAGGAAGTTAGTCCCACCTCACTAGCAATAAAAAAAAAGTCATCGTCCTAATTGTGGTCCCACTCATAGGCGCTTTGTGCTCAGTGGTAGGTTATTCACTCACCATTGTCATGTTGTGTTGCTAGCTGATGAAGCAGATTAGGCAATTCTGATAAAGTTCGTACTTGCAGGAAGCTGTTGCCAAAAACATTTCCCCTATATGGCATGATTGCTTTAGTGCATATTAGTCATACTTATTGTCTCAGTAATTTTTTTTGGTCATAACAAAATGCATTCGCGTGCAAATTTTCCCAAGTGTTAAATATTGCATTCCGTAATAATTCTGCTGGACTTCAAGTGAAATAACCTATCACTGCATAAAATCTGGGGATCTATGCAACATACCATGTGATATAATTACAAATGATTAAACTGAACACATTAAACACACGAATTGCTAAGCTGAATTATGTCCTATTTATTATAGGATATAAGTTTTCGGGTTTTCACTCAGCGATTGTTAGTTGTATTCATCTAGCTTATGACATCATGTAGATTTGTAGGCGGATTAGACGTTTCAGAGAACGTGCTGCCACAAAATTAAATCTCTTCTCACTGTTCCGTTTCCTACATGTGCCCGTAAACTTGTGTGTCCCTAAACTGGCCATTTACTGCCCGTTTCTTCCATTGGACATATCAGGCTTTTTTTGTCAACATTTCTCCGTAGGACACGTGACCATCTTCCTCGTAACCTGCCTAAGTAATTCATGAATTCTGCTTTCTTCATGCTAAAAACATGAGTGCTGTGGAAATCCATTGTGAATTACATGTGGTTTACTGCCAAAATGCAATGAGTGAAGAAACTGTAAGACAATGGTGTAGAATGTTCTAATTTTGGTCAATAAATGTTTACAAAGAGGAGTAAAGTGGTTGGCCACTTGTAGTGTGTGATGATCTTGTTCAAAAGTGCTGACCAAAAAATTTCACAATTTCAGAACTTTCGTGTGAAGTGCCACAAACTTCACGCACTTTTCTCTATCAGATTACCACGGTTACGCTAGGCTATCACAAGTTTTGCACAAGATGGGTTCACATAAAACACAGAGAATGGCTTCGGCTTTGATTATTTTAGAGCGATACCACAAAGGACGAATTTCTCAGTCAGATCATATGAGCAACAGGTGACAAAACCTGGGTGAAGTAACGCACACTCTCACTAAGGTAGCTGGGAAGACTGAATGGGATCCCAGAAAATGGTTGCTACTGGAGCTATAGTAAAGCTTTGTTGCACAGTGAAAAAAGTTGCAACTAATCACCTGACTTAAGATGTGGATTGAATACCATATAGATGAGTGGAACCCCCACTTAATGTTCAACTAAAAAATTGTCAGTTTATGTTTGATTTTAATGACCCCCAGGTCAACAGTCTCAGTGTTAAATGTTCTCCATTCAAGATCTTCCTCAATTTAGTGTAAAAATCAATTACTCCCCAAAGAAACCTCAAGTGGGCACTAAACTGTCCTGCAGTATTTAACATTTAACACACAAGCTAATATGCATGCAAACACATGTCAACCGAGTGCCAAATCCCCAATAATATTTTCTGACAGATACCCAGAGTCCATGTCTTCCTACAGAGCGAGACAAAGTTCCACACCTATACATTAGAGAAAACACTGTTTCAGGCTTCAGTTCTTAACATTTTAGATAGGAGATTGAAGATCGACAGAACTAAAAGTGTGACATACACAAAGCAATAATCTGCAGAAACTCACCTCCCGCCACGTATCAATGCACTCTGCATGAAATTGATGCATGCATGAAAGGACTGTAATCAGCTCATAATCTCCGAAATCACACATGGACACCACACATGATGCCTGATTTGCCATACTGAAGTCTGCACCAAACCTGAACAAAATATCACATTATCAGACATTACTTAACAACTACTTCAAAATCTGCAACTAACTTAAGGTAAAGTTGTCCCAGTACTTAATTAAGCACAGCCCCTTACAGACATGGAGAAGTGGATGTATAACCCTACATATTTTTAACTGAATCAACAGATGGAGGTGATCAGGTCCCCTTCATGCCCAGTCTGCTTTACGCCCAGGGAAAGACTCCCAGCACCAACCGGAAGGAAGGTACCGGAGTTCAGAGCCGGTCTGGGTGCAGTGGCAAAAAGAAAACTCCTACCCCCACTCACAATCAAACTCCTATCCTATGGTTGTCGTGGTTATAGCCCAGCCACTATACAGACTGAGCTACTCAGCTCTCAATTGTAATTAACATATGTATGATTAATGACTGCATATTAACAATATCAATATTCCAGCATACAACCTACAACATACACACAGTAGTAACAAAATCCACATTTTCAGAACAAGCCACAATAAATAAAGAGAACACAGGAAAAGAAACAAAGCATCGCATACCCATAGGTCAGTCAAATAAACAACTAGAACAGCAGCAGCAAGTAAGAAAAAACATATAGAGGGAATACATAAATACATGTTACAATGCTCTGTGGTGGATAGATGGGTTCAATCTGATCACATTTTGTTAATACACCCATGTCTGGAAACGCTTCCTTTTGGCGCTAAGAGTCACAAAAGTTCCTCAGAAGATAATAATTTCCATGTTAAATTCCCTCCATTTAAGTTATCTGTCATGTCATGTTAAGTTTCACTGACTGCAAGCCAATAATCTCCATGTCAAATTCCCTCCATTTACAATATTCCTTACTGTGGTTTTGAGATCTATTGCTTCCCAGAGAAACCTTCAAATGGAATTAATGGTATTACGGTGAAACTCCCATTTAGAATTTCTTTGGGGACCACTGAATTTGGATATTAAATGGAGGAAATCATAAAAGTGGGGAAATTTAATGCTGAGATTATTGCCTTGGTATTACTGCATGTTAAATGTAGGAAAACATTAACACACGAAACACTGAACAGGAGTTGTACTTTATATGCAGTTCACATGAATAATGGAATCCATGTTGTGTGTCTCTCTTCTGTCTTTACATGCTCTTCCACGACTGTGCCCCTTGATTTAATACTATTCATTTAATGGGCAGAATTTATATAAAGACTAAATAACTATAACTTTTAAAACAAATAACACTGAGTCAAGAATGGTGGAGCTATAACTCACCTCC